CAACCTGATGCGGGTTATTTGTTGGGGGCCTGAATGGCCCTGAAAGGGATGAAGACTTTAGAAAGATGACAGGCCAGCCCTTTTCAAATCAAATCAAATCAAATCACTTTTATTGTCACATCACATGTGCAGGCACACTGGCACAGCACATGCGAGTGAAATTCTTGTGTGCGAGCCCCACAAGCAACAGAGATGTGCAAACACAACAACACAAACGAGCAAAATACAAGAATGGCCAACCTGAAACTAATAAATATATGTACAATATATAATAGTGTATGCATTTCTGGATGTGTATACTAAATATTTTCCTACGTGTGTGTGTGTGTGTGTGTGGTGTGTGTGTGTATGCACATTTTTACAAATTAAATAGTTAAAAAAAAAATTAAAAAAATAAATAAATAATAATAATAATAATAATAATAATAATAATAAAAAAATATATAAAATATACAGAGTTGAATATGTGCAAAACAAGTGGCATTTATATACAGTGTGGAGTGCATAATGTTAAAGTTCCAGTAGTGAAGCTGAGGTGTCTATGACGTGTTCAGCAGTCTGATGGCCTGATGGAAAAAGCTGTCTCTCAGTCTGCTGGTACGGGACCGGATGCTGCAGAACCTCCTTCCTGATGGAAGCAGTCTGAACAGTTTATGGCTGGGGTGACTGGAGTCCTTGATGATCCTCCCCGCTTTCCTCAGGCACCGCTTCCTGTAGATGTCTTGGAGGGAGGGAAGCTCACCTCCAATTATCCGTTCAGAGCACCGCACTACTCGCTGGAGAGCTTTGCGGTTGTAGGCGGTGCTGTTGCCATACCAGGTGGTGATGCATCCAGTGAGGATGCTCTCAATGGCACAGTGATAGAAGGTCCTGAGGATGCGGGGGCTCATGCCGAATCTTTTCAGTCTCCTGAGAAAGAAGAGGCGCTGCTGCGCCTTCTTCACTGTTTTGTTTGTGTGTACTGACCACGTAAGATCCTCAGCCAGATGTACACCAAGGAACCGGAAGCTGCTCACTCTCTCCACAGCAGCGCCGTTGATGGTGATGGGGGTGTGTACTTCTCTGCACCTCCGGAAGTCCACTATCAACTCCTTTGTCTTTGCGACGTTGAGGGTGAGATGGTTGTCTTGACACCAGTGGGTCAGGGCGCTGACCTCCTCCCTGTAAGCCGTCTCATCACCGTTGGTGATAAGACCCACCACTGTAGTGTCGTCCGCAAACTTCACAATGATGTTGGAGCTGTTAGTGGCTGTGCAGTCGTAGGTGTAGAGTGAGTACAGGAGAGGGCTCAGTACACACCCCTGTGGAGCACCAGTGTTCAGTGTGATGGGGGATGAGGTGATGCTGCCCAGTCTGACCACCTGGCGTCTGTCAGACAGGAAGCTAAGGATCCAGCTGCAGAGGGAGCTGCTCAGTCCTAGATCCTGCAGTTTCCTGTCCAGCTTCGAGGGAACGATGGTATTGAATGCTGAGCTGTAATCTACAAACAGCATCCTCACATACGTGTCTCTCTTCTCCAGGTGTGACGGGGCAGTGTGTAGTGTCAGGGCTATGGCATCATCAGTGGACCTGTTGTGGCGGTATGCAAACTGTAGAGGGTCCAGTGAGTCGGGTAGTGCAGAGCAGATGAAGTCCCTGACCAGCTTCTCGAAGCATTTGCTTACGATGGGGGTCAGGGCTACAGGTCGCCAGTCATTCAATGAGGAGATGGTGGAGGATTTGGGTACAGGGACGATGGTGGCCATTTTGAAGCAGGCTGGGACTACAGACAGAGAGAGGGAAAGGTTGAAGATGTGCGTGAACACTCCAGCCAGCTGAGCCGCGCATGACCTGAGGACGCGGCCGGGAATCCCGTCCGGACCAGTAGCTTTGCGTGCGTTCACCTTCCTGAAGCACTTCCGCACATCCTCCTCAGACACCAATTTTTGCACCAATAATGCTGTCAAAGAGGAATATTATTCTCTAGTAATTCCACACCATGATCATGCGTCTTTTGTAGCTCGAATGTCACCTTTGAACATCTGAGACAACTGGCAGTTTGATCCCGTAGATACATTTTATTATTATATTTATTTAATAGGCAATTACTCTGTAATAATGGGCACGTGTATGTGTGTTAGTACCCAATTAAGCCAATGTTTTCCTTCACTTTTGGTTATGCTGTGTGTTGCCCGTTCTGTGACTATAACAAAGCCCCAAATTACATTAATTAGTGTTTGGCATCCCTCAATCCTAGTCCCTAGCCTACATATTTCTTATTCCCATCTTTCTTATTCCTTTTGCATGATCGATTCTTTTTGTGTGATATAGCTGGATACAAACATTAGCCATACTTATGGGAAAAAAATAGCATATGCAAGTAACATAGTAACAAAGAGCTACTTGACTTGTGGCTAAATTGGCTAACCCTATTCATTCTGCCAATGACGTCAGGTGGTCCATGGCGCCTTTGTGTTTGCCTGCTTGAAAGAGGGTCAGAAGGGGGGGGGGTTGTCACATCAGGTAGGGGGAGTAAATGAGCAAAGGAAAACACAGAAGTAAGGCATGGGGTAACAGGGAGAATGGGAATCTATGGGATTGCAAGCTATTAAAATGGAAATGGAAGGTTCAAGCTTCAAGTTCGAACCCAGATTCTACTTGGGCCCAACACCCTCACGGCCCCACAGCTCTCTCTGTGATATTAACAGCCACACGGAGAGCTGTCAAAGAGGAAGTTATCGATTGTTCTGCCTGGCCTTTGTTTGCATTAACACGCAGTTGTTTGGGACTTTGACTGCCTTGTGTAAGGACCAGTCACGAGAGCAGGCGCGATTGATGAGCTTTATGGGTAGACAGAGCTCCATTGTCATCCCCACACCCCAGCTTCCGTCAGGGCTTTCTGATCACTGTGCAGCCTCCTGAAACAAAGGCAGCCATGTTTGTACAGATGGATTGAGTAGGCCTTATTTTTCTGACTTCTCTGCTGCTCCAGCAGTGACCCACTCTTGCTGGTTGCATTCACTGTTGGTCAGATACTTGTATACGCTAATTGTAAATTAATGGGATGAGGAAGAGTGTTGAGGGTGTGTTAAGGAAGGACTGATGGGCAGAAGGCTGGGCAAGCTTTCTCCTGTTCTTCTAAGTGGGATCATTATGTACTCTGTCCTTTTATTGTTTCCCTGTCTTCATTCTTTCACAGTACAGAGGTCTCATTTATGACAATTGTAATGTTTGTCCTGTGTAGAAACACTCCTTAGTGAACAAGATTACACCTGTAAAGCTCTGCTAGTGGAACGATTGCATACTGATGTTTAGCTTTGCCATAAAAACGTAAAGCTTGATGCTATGATGGCACAATAAAACAGGATGAGAGATTATTAAAATCGCATGAAATGCCAATAGAACGCAAAGTTATTGTTATTCTGAGCAAGGCTGAGTTACATCACTTCAATTCAGACTTTTTTTATATATTTATCCGCCCTGCTGACTGAAATTGATATTTAAAGTGCTCTGCACATTGTTTTGTTTGTTTGTTTGTAACCGTTTCATCTGATCTAATGGGAGAAAGGAAGGCTTATGGGGCTGTGTCCAGAATCCTTTGGTCAGCATTAATGTGTTCGGTAAACCAGTCGCCGTCCTCTGACCCTTCATGAAACAATTATTTAATGTTTTGTTTTAACCGTTTTTACTCATCCCTAACATGCTGTAGCTTTCACTACATCATCAACCATGGCAGCATCCTCACCATGAGCAGCTCATGGCCAGTTTCTCTAACAGAGATATAATTTATAAACGAAAAACAAAGGCGCTCATAAATGAAGCAGATTTTGTGGTCACCATGGAAACTGGAGATTGGATCACAGATTGCTCCTTCACCCTCCCTTTTAAAATTCAACCCAGAGTTATGGCTACTTCATGGATTAACAAGGTAGAAAATTTACAGCAAAATTGGGAGTAAACGTAAAGGCGGAAACAGTTCACCGAGGCTTGGAGGTTCTGTTGTGCATATGACAGAGGTGTTATAGTGACTGATGAACCACAAAGGTCAAAGGGTTAAGCTTTCCACTCTTTCAGTGCTGCTGAGCAAGACCCCATTGTGTGTACTCTGACAAACACACTTACGCAATCTCTGAAGAACACATTTTACTATGCAGTTGACACATGCTAATTTCTTAACACTGTGGCAACAGTGTGTCACCTTACATTCACACACCGACCAAATCAGGGTGTAGATGAGATATTTTCTGTTCTTGTGTGCCTTCTACAGACAATCCTAATCCCCAGAGGATGAATCCCATAAAATTACTTTGACAGCTGGGAAGTTTGTCTTTTATTATGAGGCTGACCACTTGTATTTTTAATGAAATATTGGAAATTATTCACAACAAATGAAGATAATGCCTATGTTTGCATGGGTTGCCTTAAAAGTTGGTACAGAAAAGACACTAGTAGTCCAAAGAAATTTCTCTACAAGTATGAATGTTAAAATGCACAAAATCTGTCTGAGGTTTCCCTATTTGTATGCATGTAAGTCCTATCAGTTGTATGGTAACCGGTGTGGTGTTCAGTACAGGCATTGTGAAGGCCTGCTCACTGTGATTGGTCACTGCTTTGTCACGCTCACGAAACTGTACTGTGCTGAAAAAGAAAGTAACAACAGGCTTTATATTTAAGAAAGGTCTGTAAAGATGCCTCAGCTGCACAGTCTCTGTGGGATATAAAGGATTAAATCCTCGAGCCAGACACAGGCCTGTCAAAACCAAACAAAACCAGCTTTCAGAGCTGCTGATAGCCAATGAGCAGTTACCTCACAGGGTGATGTCACATGCTGGAGGCGTGGTTTCATTTGCTAATGCAGCGGCTGTAGTATTGGGATGTAGTTGGTGGGCATCTTGTGACTGTTTTAGTTTAACAAGTGAACAAATAATCAAGTTTTTACTGTTAAAATTATATCAGCTGTTGAGTCATCTTCATATACTTGAAAAAAATCCATCAACTCATTTTCCTTCTTGCTTTTCCAGGTCACAGAGCTGAATGAAGCACTATCCAACGAGGAGCGGAACCTCCTCTCTGTGGCCTATAAGAATGTGGTTGGGGCAAGGCGTTCATCCTGGCGCGTCATCTCCAGCATTGAGCAGAAGACATCAGCTGACGGCAATGAGAAGAAGATTGAGATGGTGCGGGCCTACCGGGAAAAGATAGAAAAGGAGCTGGAGTCCGTCTGCCAGGATGTGCTCAACCTCCTCGACAACTACCTGATCAAGAACTGCAACGAGACGCAGCACGAGAGCAAAGTGTTCTACCTGAAGATGAAGGGCGACTACTACCGCTACTTGGCCGAGGTTGCAACGGGGGAGAAGAGAGCCTCGGTGGTGGAGTCCTCTGAGAAGTCCTACAGCGAGGCCCACGAGATCAGCAAGGAGCACATGCAGCCAACCCACCCCATCCGCCTGGGCCTGGCTCTTAACTACTCTGTCTTCTACTATGAGATCCAGAACGCGCCAGAGCAGGCGTGCCACCTGGCCAAGACAGCTTTCGATGACGCCATTGCCGAGCTGGATACCCTCAACGAGGACTCCTACAAAGACTCCACTCTCATCATGCAGCTGCTACGAGACAACTTGACGCTCTGGACGAGCGACCAGCAGGACGACGAGGGAGGAGAGGGCAACAACTAAGGAGTCTAGAACCCCATTCTGCCAAAACAACACAAACACACGCGCTCACAAATGATGACAAAAATAATAATAATAGTTAAAATGTTCTTAGAAATGTAAAACAAAACAAAAAAAACAAAAAAACAAAGGAGGGTGGGTTGGGGGGGCGGTGAAACCTCGGCGGCCTATTGAAGCCGATGGTTGCTGACGCGGCTGCAGTTCTTTATTTTTCCACAGATTTAAAGTGAAAAAAAAAGGTAGGCAGATGAAGGAATTTTAGTTTCAGAAATAACCTACAGTTAAAGAAAAAAAAACAATAGAAGAAAGAACCCCCCTCCTTGATAGCCTCTGCAGCATTTGCCAAACACTTGTAGATGCAAGAGGTATGCCATTGATCACAGTGTGACCATTGGGTATTGATACCTTCACACTGGCAGAGACTGGTCTCATTGTGCAAATGAAGCTGAGCTGTCTTGCTATACTCGACGAGGGAGGAGCATATAGAAAATTCAATTTCGATGCTTGAGCAGCGGGAAAAATGGAGTAACCTTGAATGTCACAAACTTTCTTGGTGAAAGAAAGGGAGGGAGAGAAAGAGAGAGAGCAAGCAGGTGGGTTGGGAGATGAAGATGAGCTTTTCTGGGGGTGTTGAACTTCATTGCGTAAAAACGTACTGACATCTTTAGTTGCACTGCGTGGGCCCATGGTCGTTGAATGAAAAGCAGGTTGTCTCTGTTATTGATAACAAACAACAACAACAAAAAAAATTTGTTTGCTTGTGTCAGGTATTTGTCCTGCTCAGTCACACGGTCATACTGTAACTAAAACTACAGATTCATAAAGTAAACTTAGTGCAGCTTGTCCCTCTCATGTGCTGATGTGCTTTATTAAATAAATTAACTGTTTTTGGACACCCAATTCTTATTGTCAGTATTGTCGTTACTACTTCTATCGGCTCCTTTTGTTTGTCAGGAAACTATTTGATCGAGATAGTGAAAAATACCATCAATTTTCACCTTTAAGTAATGCCGTCTTCAAAACAATTGGCAGGGTCTGATCTGAAATGTCACCTGGAACCACAGACCCGATTAGTGAACAGAGCATGATCTGTGGACAGAGAGCACATGCACTGTTAAAGTGGAAGCTGTAAAAGCAGACATGAGGTTTGTGGATTTACTTTGTCTTCAGTTTCTTCTTGGTCGAGAAAATGCACTTGCCTATTATACTGTTTCTTCAGTGTAAGATGATAACTGCTCCAATAGTCTCCATAATACAATCTTGTGCATGCTAGTGATGTATTTATACAGTAGCTTCAATTTATTAACTTATACTGTAGATGTTATGCATTCATATGAACATGGAATTACTAGACCTTAATTGGATTATTTTCTATTTATTTCTTTTTATTGCGATTGTTAGTTAGACCTTATTTTAATCTGTGTTTTCTTTACTCTATTTGCTGAAGTACGCTATACCAAAACAGTGATTGTTAACAATAAATTGATCTGTTACGGACATCGCTATGGTTGATATGCAATTCTTGGCAAGGGGGACTAAAAGCAGAAGGCAAATTAGCTTATGTTGTGCCACTGACCAGCACAACACAGGCCGATGGATTCATGTTTCAGTGAGGAGACGCCGCATATTTGGAAGCTTAACAAAATTAGTTCACAGAGAATGGTTGGTTTTTTTTTTTTGGGTTGTTTTTTTTTAGCCAAAATTTAATTCAGTTTCATTTAAATAGCGCCAAATCACGATAACTTTTGCTTCAAAACCCTACAAAAATACAGAGAAAACCCCAACAAGCGACAGTTGGGAGGAAAAACTCCCTTTTAACAGGAAGACCCTAACCCTAACCCTAACCAGGCTCAGAGACAGGCAGCCATCTGCCGGGACTGGTTGGGATCTTAAGGGGAAGGAGACAGGATAAAAGACACACTGTGGAAGAGAGCCAGAAATTAATAATCACTAGCAGAGCGGACACCTAGCAAACGGCTACCAGCTCCAGCTGAATAACTGTTGTTAAATTGGCCATTTTAACTTGGAACTATGCTGATTGACTCTCTCCTAGAGCCAGCCTCAAGTGGCTGCAGTTTTGGCCACTCTAGCGTTACCTTCATTTTCCATTCAGCAACCCTGAATTACACAAGCAGAAGAAGAATGACAGATGAATTTACAGGGCCTGTCTCTAGAGGTCTTTTTTCATTGGTTTTTTGGTTTTCTTCCTATACAGCCAAGTGTTGACAGCACCCATGGTCCTCAGTGCACAGCACTTTCCTGCTACATTATCATTGCTTTTAATTGAAAGCAGTTCAGCTTTTGGAGCACCACTTTCCTAGCCAATGTTGCTGTCATTAGAATGTCAACACTTAAATACGGTAAAGTTGAAAACTTAGAACAAGATGCTGGTTGCATCTTGTTCTAAACTCTTAAGAATATCTCTGAAAATTTCTGAGGATGCCTATATGCCTATAATATTAATGAATGACTCTTCAAACTTCAGCATCTTTACAAAATTACATAATGCAGTAGCCCACACATATCTGAGAATACAGCTCCAAGAATGTATTTGATGTACTGGTACTGATCCTGGTTGAAACACAACACAGCATAGCAGAAGTCTCCCCCCAGACACACCAACGTCTGATTTTATACAGACGTTGGTGCGTCTGCAATGAGACACCTCAATTATAGGCTGGGTTCTCAAGGTTCTCAAATTTACTTGTTTTGGATTTTAGGCTTTTTGTGATATAGTCCATGTTGCTCAGTGTTTGTCTAGTTTCACTACAGATATCTAATGTGAACTGTACCAATCAATCCAGTTATTTTACAGATAAAGACAATTCATGCTAATCAGACCTGCAAATAATCCAGAGTATAGACTCACATACACACATATCTACAGGATCTACAGCGAGGACATTGGGATTTCATTTGGACTGGATATGTGTGGTTAAATGGTTGAAAAGAGAGGGAAGGTGATCTGGACTGAAGGGGTGGAGTTGTGAGAAGGGAGAATAGCAGATGTGCAGGAGAGCCAAAAGTACTTGGCTATCCCACAGGCCACTGAGAATCATGATAAAGATGCACGAAGGTCAGTCACAGCCAGATACTTCCAGATACGGGTGCTGAAAGGCTAGCTGAACAGTAGGAAAAAGATGCAAGCCATTAAAACACAGGCCCTAATAGTCATCAGTTACCCAGCTGGAAAAATAATCCGGCCACAGAATGGCCGGCCATCCACATGGATGCCACTGATTTCAAGATACAAAACCTCCTCACAATGCACAGAGGTCTATATCCAAAGTCCAGCACCCTGAGGCTCTATGAGCAATGGAAAAAGAAAAAGTGAGGGTTAGTTTTAGAACCAAAGTCCAGGATGACAATAGAGCATTCAGAACACATCAGGAAGATAGCCCCACAAGATGAGCTACTTCAAGAATGCCTCGGGCAGGTGAAGATAGACAGTGATGAAAAAAGGGAACTAACATACACAATTAAGCTTCTGCTTAGGAGGTGCCATCAACACAGAGGAAGAGAAGATATCAAGATATGCTACCAGTGGCTAAAAAGGCCGCTTAAAGGACGAAGCAGAGGCTCTGATCATGGCACCACAAGAACAGGCCCTTCAAGCTGTGACAGCATACAATGAGAAATACTACGAAGTGGCTGGGATAGTTTACAAAAACATCCATATGGACTAGACGTCCCCAAGTCCCGATGGGAGATCTTCTGTTAGAGGTCTAGACAGACAAGCTGCTGTCCCAACCAACAAGAGATAGTGGTGGTTGATATTTCCCACATCCATAAACATAAACTACTTTATACTCTTTTTTTTTTTTAATACTGCAGACACTTTATTCAATTTATTCACTTACAGTTACTTATTTACTTAATAAATACACAGAATGTACAGTATATACAGTTTTAAAATTAAAGTGACTGAATATCTCATTCTTATTGCCCGTTTATGCCCTGTCCTTATCTTTAACGTCATGCTGCTCTGTTGTATCTTAATTGCCCCTTGGAGATAAATAAAGTCTCTCTGATTCTGATAAGAGCAGAAGACCACAGACATTGGTACACATAATGCCAATGTCAGTATAAGTTTCTAATCATTCAGAAAGCACTGAGTGAACAAGAAAACTGCTCATTTATGCAACATTGTTGTGTCCAGGATTTTTTTCCCCCTGCAGGTAAGTTGGCTGGAACATCACATTCTTTCTCTGTCTTCTGTCTCTGCAAAAGACTCTAATCATTAATCCAACGATGTCTGTGTGGGAAGCAGTGCTAATCAAGAATGGCAATTTGTCAAATTAACATCTTCAGTCGGGTAGGGAGGGAGAGGTAATTATTGGAAACAGCTGGTGAGTGTTAATTTGTCAGAAGGCAATCAACACTGGCAAAATCCTACACTGTTGCTATGGAGAAGAAAAAGCACCACATCTGTTCATCAGTGCACTAATCTGAGGTCCACACACCTGATGACAAGATCATTCATTTAGTAGATCATCATTAACCAAGTCTGGGGTTTTTTTTCTGTTGCTGAAATGCACATTAGATTTAGAGCATGAAACGACTACTGCTGGGTGCAGAGTGAGTTTTATTGTACTCTTCATCCCAATTAAATGATTTATATACCCGTCTTGTCATGATCTACACAAAGGAGCAATGAACTGGTTTCTTTTTCAAGATTATGTCAGAGATTTTCTCAGATATTGGAGGAGCCAAAATTTTACTAGTCTAGATGCTTATTTTTTACTCTACAAAGACAAAGCTGTTACACTAATACCACTGATCTACGCAATTTAAAAGATGAAAAGTTGTTTGACATGAATATTTATGATTTATGCTGTTAATGCTGGCCTACAGTAAATCTAATATTCATGTTGTGAGTAATTTATTGCTGCCAAACCCTACAGTGATCCATGGGTGCTACTCTTGATTGTATCTTATCAATGCTGGACTTTGGTCCATATGTCTATTATAATAACATATCAGTGTGTACGCCTTAATAATGAACTCATTGTATTAGGCCACATCTGTGATGATGATAACTGACTGAGTTATCGTCATCAGCCTTTTTAGTGTAGGTTGTATGAAGCTGATGTCTTATAGGTTTGGTAAGCTACAGTAAAAATTCTGCCAGTGACCTATTGGTGCTTGTCTTTTTTTTTCCTCGTCCAGTTTAAACTTTGTTTTCTCTAAATATTCTACCCACTGTATGATATCCAGCTGTATTACTACTAAAATAATATTCACACACTAACAATATTAAAATAGTAAACTCATGTGCTTAGCATTTACATTTTAGCATAGTTAGCAGCACTTCTAACAGTAACAAGTAGAGGCTTTTTGTTATAAAGGATGGCTCTAACCAGGGCTTAAAATGTACCAGAATGGACCACTAACCACATCATGTTAATGTTTTCATGCAATCATGGTGACAATGTAGGATCAATGACTGATCACATGATTATCTAGCAACCACTGGAAAAATGAATATTCTTTAACCAGATGTGTGTGGTTCCTGGAGGCTGATGGCTACAGACAACAGCAACAGTGATGCTTGGTAACCACTGTGAGGTAGTCAGGCACGAACGTCAAGGAAGGTGGTAGAGAAGCAGACTATGCAGACATTTCAGGTTTTCAGAGGTGAGCAATTTATTTACAGTGAACTTAATTTAATGTATAACTTAACAAAACTTCCCCCAAATCAATTCAATTAACAAAACTCAACATAACATGGCTCTGGTGACACAGCTCACCTCTCCTCTCTCCTGCATCTTCTTCTTCAGTCAAGCTTAATGGCAGCTTGCATCCAAAACTGTTGCATTACTGCCATCTCCTGGCCATTAACCATCCATCACTCCTGAATCCTCAGATCCTCTTGATGAGACCAGTACTTCTCAAAAACGAAAAACCACCACTTTCTCTCCTGCATCTGGTAGAGACTGGCTTTAGGGCCATCAATTTCCCTCCAATTGCCCAGCCAGTACCACTCACTCAACTGAGGGATCTAAAACTCTACACAGATTATCTAAAAACACAAAACCTCTACACACTTCTAACATGCACATTTACACAACTAAATGGCAGTATTAACGAAAGGAAAAACCTCAATAGTCATGCATTTTACAGCAGAATCAGTTCATTTTGACTGTGTCGCAGTCTGACAGTCAGACTTCTAGTAACTGCCTGAACATACTTCCTTAGTAAAAAGAAAATGACATCCCAAACCTAAATGCTTCCCCTTTTCCTTTTCATTCCTGTGATGTGTTCACAGGAATGAACTAAATAAAGTTGAGTTTCAGAAGAGAAGTGAGCATAAATGTAACATTATCTTAAGTTGTGTGAAACAGCCTGCAATCAAAGTATACTAATCTTGTGTTGTATTCAAAAGTTGCATGAAAATATAGTACAAGGCAGTTCAATGCCCTATGCTGAACTGGTACAGAGCAGGCTGTGATACTTGTGGCCAGTTAGATCAAAGGTAGCAGACAATAATTTTTTGTTT